TGTGTATATATATATATATATATAAAATAAAATAAATTCTAAATAACTAATGAGAAAACAATACAACACTTTAAAGAAGACCTGTAGGCAGATATAAAATACTCCAATCTAACACTTTAAGTTGTACCTCAGTCTATTGTTACATTAGCCTCTCAAAGCTCCCTGCGCTGACTGGGAGGAGAAGGGGCAGGAAAGTAAGCCAATCAGGAAGCTCAGACCTCATCAGTTTATTGCTGCTCCTTTACTAGCCAATCACAGGCTGGGTAGTCCTCAACAAGGCTAATTTATCTTAACTAGAGCAGAGTAGGCAACCTCAGCACTCCAGGTGTTGGGGAACTACAAGCACTCCTATGCTTTTTTGGAAATCTTTAGGGCGGGGTTGGTCAAACTCTGAGCCCGCCAGCTGTGGTGCAACTACAAATCCCAGGAGGCATTGCAAGACTCCGACAGCCACAGGCATGACTCCCAGGGACAGAGACTTGATGGAATTTGTATTTACCCAGTGGGAGTGTCGAGGTCGCCTCCCCCGTGACCTAGAGTGTAGGAATGTGAGGTCAGAGTATTGCTTGCCCACTATAGCCATAGAGCACCTACATATGAGTCCATTAACATGTGCAAAGAAGCCACAGGTGTCCCCGTGTCCGATAAGTGGTGGCGCCATCCACCAATTTATTACAGCAGACTGGGTGTCCAAGCCTGTAAGGTGCGCCGCACACAAAACAACTCTCACTGCAGATTAGAAAACTGGATGAACAAGCTTACAATCTTTTTTTGGGCAGATCAGAGACTTCGCGATTATGCACTTCAATGAATTTGGCTTTTTGCCATTTTACTTCTCTGTTACTTTATGTCATGCCAAATATATATAAAAAAGGTGCTAATCCTGAGGATATCATAATACAGGCTACAGTGCAAACAATGGCGCTGGTGACTGATGGAGGGAGAGGACAAGCGAGACATTTACACATTGCTGCTTCTTTCTTTTTTTTTTTTAACGTTATTAACAGAAAACCGCGGGAGATTTTCATCTTCAAAACTTAATCTGAGCATCATAAATAAAACTGGCATTATAATAATAATAATCTCTTAGATTGTAAGCCCTCAGGGGCGGGGCCCTCCTTACCATCTTATTGTGACTGTAATGTCTTCCCTATATTGTAAAGCGATGCGCAAACTGTTGGCGCTATATCAATATTTGTATCATTATTATTATTATTATATTTTTGTTTTAAAAAATAATTTTTAAATACTTTAAGACTCTCATGTGACTTTTCACATTTAAAGCCTATTTTTTTTGTTATTATTATACTACCATTTTAAGTAACCTGAGAATGTTTTTGTCTATCCGGCCATTTATTGGAGAACAAAGCGAAATCAATCTCTCCTGCAAAGATGAAAATCTACCCACTTGAGAACGTTATGGAGATTTTTTTATTTTTTTTTGTTGCCTTGGATCACCGCCAGAACTAATTCACAAGCCATCCAAAATGTACGTACCGTCTACCTCAGCGTTGAGACCTTTGACGGAAGCTAGAAAAAAGAAATGAAGACGGAGAGGAGTATTAGATCAATGCTCTCTGGACCTGGCATCAGATTTTATGAATGTGATTGAATAATGTTCCTTTTTATCTGCTCACCACCAGGAACGGCTTCAAATTCCGTCAACTCTTGGGAAAATTTCGCCAGATCAGGCTCCTGTAACAGGATCTGCTCCACAAGGGCATGCATCAAGGTGAACTTCTTCTCTTTACTAGCGAGCTGGGCCATCTACCGGTAGAAGAGAATCATCATTGACAGGCCCGCGGGCTATCAATCTACCGGCCACACAAAGTATTACAGAAGACTTGGGCCTATCAGTTATTGCGCAACACGACAGATCAAAACACCTCCATCTGGCGTTCTCATATCCTCCGAGGGGCTCTTCCTTCCACGCCGTGTGTTACAATAGACGCGGAAGGATGAGAATTATTAACCAAAGAATTTAAATTACAATTCAAAACAATGATAGAATGGAATAAAACATGAACGTTGCACCGATGTTGAGTCGAGGAAATCTATATTTGCAGTTATACTTACAACCTGTTCGATAAATAGGTAATACAGTGACAGCTTCAATCAGGATCCGGGGAGAGGGCTTTCTGGGAGGTGGGAGGGGAGGAGGACGTAAGTTTTCACTATCTTAGCAGAGTTTGTTACTTTGTAGGCACGTGATAGGCTGTACTACACCGACAACATGGCCGACCACTGGACATGATCATGAATGATACAATTCTATTACACTCTATACATAGAACGCTACAACCCCCAACATGGCCGACCACTGGACATGATCATATACATATACACTGTATACATAGAACACTACAACCCCCAACATCACCGACCACTGGACATGATCCTAATACAATTCTATTACACTCTATATATAGAACGCTACAACCCCCAACATGGTCGACCACTGGATACCGTTATAATACAATTCTATTACACTCTATACATGGGACACTACAACCCCCAACATGACCGACCACCGGACATGATCATAATACAATTCTATATAGAGAAACACTACTACCCCAGCATGGCCGCCCACTGGACACCATCATAATACAATTCTATTACACTCTATAGATAGAACACTACAGCCCCAACATGGCCGACCACTGGACATGGTTATAATACAACTCAATATAGAGAAACACTACAACCCCCAACATGGCCGCCACTGGACACCGTCAGAATACAATTCTATACACTCTATATATAGAACACTACACCCCCAACATGGCCGCCCACTGGACACCATCATAATACAATTCTATTACACTCTATACATAGAACACTACAACCCCCAAACATGACCCACCACTGACATGATCATAATACAATTGTATTACATTCTATACATAGAACACTACAACCTCCAACATGGCCGACCACTGGACATGGTCATAATACAATTCAATATAGAGAAACACTACACCCCCAACATGGCCGCCCACTGGACAACATCATAATACAATTCTATACACTCTATATATAGAACACTACACCCCCAACATGGCCGACCACTGGGCATGGTCATAATACAATTCTATATATAGAACACTACAACCCCCAACATGGCCGACCACTGGGCATGGTCATAATACAATTCTATATATAGAACACTACAACCCCCAACATGACCCACCACTGGACATGACCGTAATACAATTCTATACACTCTATACTGTATATAGAACACTACAACCCCCAGCATGACCCACCACTGGACATGATCATAACACAATTCTATTACACTCTATAGATAGAACACTACAACCCCCAACATGATCCACCACTGGACATGGTTATAATACAATTCTATATATAGAACACTACAACCCCCAACATGACCCACCACTGGACATGACCGTAATACAATTCTATACACTCTATACTGTATATAGAACACTACAACCCCCAGCATGACCCACCACTGGACATGATCATAACACAATTCTATTACACTCTATAGATAGAACACTACAACCCCCAACATCACCCACCACTGGACATGGTTATAATACGTACATGATCATATTTCAATGTTATCAAGCACATTCAAACATTTTTGGCACATGACAAAACTACATTTTATGTCAAATATTTATTTTCTCTCTTTATCAGATAAAGCAAATAAAAGGGAGAGTCACGGCCTCCTGCTGGGCCGAGCCTTGTCTGTGAAAGGAAATTAGGCTTAATTGCCTTTCAGAAATGCAGTATGAGTGAGTCTTTGATGTGCTCGTATTAAATGAGGTGATATTTACTTGTTTTTGTTTTTCATTTTGACTTTACTGTTCTGTTTCTCTAAATATTCTTTAAAGTGACTCTATCAGTTGCCTAAAAATATCCTTAAAGAAGTTCCCTGTAATAGAAGAGGTATTTTACTCCTCTCCCCGGTGTCCCATGTCTCCTACCTCCCCTCCCATTCCATGTAATAGAAGAGGTATTATACTCTGCTCTCCCCGGTGTCCCGTGTCTCCTACCTCCCCTCCATTCCCGGTAATAGAAGAGGTATTATACTCCTCTCCCCGGTGTCCCATGTCTCCTACCTCCCCTCCCATTCCCTATAATAGAAGAGGTATTATACTCCTCTCCCTGGTGTCCCGTGTCTCCTACCTCCCCTCCCATTCCCTATAATAGAAGAGGTATTATACTCCTCTCCCCGGTGTACCGTGTCTCCTACCTCCCCTCCCATTCTATGTAATAGAAGAGGTATTATACTCCTCTCCCCGGTGTCCCATGTCTCCTACCTCCCCTCCCATTCCATTTAATAGAAGAGGTATTATACTCCTCTCCCCAGTGTCCCATGTCCCCTATCTCCCCTCCATTCCCTGTAATAGAAGAGGTATTATACTCCTCTCCCCAGTGTCCCATGTCCCCTATCTCCCCTCCATTCCCTGTAATAGAAGAGGTATTATACTCCTCTCCCCAGTGTCCCATGTCCCCTATCTCCCCTCCATTCCCTGTAATAGAAGAGGTATTATACTCCTCTCCCCAGTGTCCCATGTCCCCTATCTCCCCTCCATTCCCTGTAATAGAAGAGGTATTATACTCCTCTCCCCAGTGTCCCATGTCCCCTATCTCCCCTCCATTCCCTGTAATAGAAGAGGTATTATACTCCTCTCCCCAGTGTCCCATGTCCCCTATCTCCCCTCCATTCCCTGTAATAGAAGAGGTAATATACTCACCTCTCCCCGGTGTCCCATGTCCCCTATCTCCCTGCATTACCTGTAATAGAAGAGGTATTATACTCCTCTCCCCGGTGTCCCATGTCCCCTATCTCCCCTCCATTCCCTGTAATAGAAGAGGTAATATACTCACCTCTCCCCGGTGTCCTGTGTCTCCTACCTCGCCTCCGTTCCCCGTAATAGAAACAGGGTTCTACTCTCCTCTCCGGTGTCCAGTGTCTCCTACCTCCCCTCCGTTCCCGGTAATAGAAGAGGTATTATACTCCTCTCCCCGGTGTCCCATGTCTCCTACCTCCCCTCCCATTCCATGTAATAGAAGAGGTATTATACTCCTCTCCCCGGTGTACCGTGTCTCCTACCTCCCCTCCATTCCCTGTAATAGAAGAGGTATTATACTCCTCTCCCCGGTGTACCGTGTCTCCTACCTCCCCTCCAATTCCATGTAATAGAAGAGTTATTATACTCCTCTCCCCGGTGTCCCGTGTCCCCTACCTCCCCTCCATTCCCGGTAATAGAAGAGGTATTATACTCCTCTCCCCGGTGTCCCGTGTCTCCTACCTCCCCTCCATTCCCGGTAATAGAAGAGGTATTATACTCCTCTCCCCGGTGTCCCGTGTCCCCTACCTCCCCTACATTCCCTGTAATAGAAGAGGTATTATACTCCCCTCCCCGGTGTCCCATGTCTCCTACCTCCCATTCCCTGTAATAGAAGAGCTATTATACTCTGCTCTCCCCGGTGTCCCATGTCTCCTACCTCCCCTCCATTCCCTGTAAAAGAAGAGGTATTATACTCCTCTCCCGGTGTCCCGTGTCTTCTACCTCGCCTCCGTTCCCCATAATAGAAGAGGTATTATACTCACCTCCCCGGTGTCCCGTGTCTCCTACCTCGCCTCCGTTCCCCATAATAGAAGAGGTATTCTACTCCCCTTTCTGAATTACCTGTAGTAGAACAGATATTATGCTTCCCTCTCCAGTGCCCAGTGTCCCATACCTCCCCTCCGTTCCCTGTAGTAGAACAGATATGCTTCCCTCTCCAGTGTCCAGTGTCCCCTACCTGCTTCATATACAGTACATTGCTTAGCATGCTGCATTTTACATGAACAATATATATCTAATGGCAAACTGTGAACCAAAATATGATAAAACAGAGGCACTAAATGGTACAACTTGCACAGCTTCACCTGGGGTGGGGCGGGGGGCACAGGAATAGCACACACAGGGACACAACTTCAAGCCTATGCACTTCTGTGGCAGTTTTGATAAGAGAGCCCTAGTAAAGAGACAAATCACCAGGAAACATAATATCATGAGATTAAGATATCACACAGGACTTAAAGCGTCAGTGGTTCCCAGCAGCTGACAACAATATATGAATTAGGTGGATTTTTTTGCTGTTTTTGTTTAATTATAATGGTAATAATTATTTTGCTTTAATTGGCTTGAGATAATGTTAGGTGGTCATCTGACATTTTGCTGGAGCTTGGTTGGAGCCCAGTGTCTTAATTTGGCACCTCTCATCGGCTGAGATCAGACCGGCTTAATGTAACTAGCTGTGAAGATATCTTATTCTGTCCACCGTGTGCTCACTATTTCCAAGATCTTCTCACCGTAGGGGGAACTCCCCGGGGGAGCGCATTGGGGGGGAAAAAACGGATATGGTCCGCGATTCTCTCAGTGATGAATGAGGTATTAGCAGCGATACCGCGAAGATCCCTGCTGTTCTCTCACAGCCATAAATCACTCATAGATTCATAAATAGGAACCACTTTCAGACTGCATTAGGCATGTTGTCTATGGAAATGGAATGAAGCAGTTTTCGGTCTAGAGATTCATAGACATGGCTCCTCTCCTGGACTGACATGTCTTCCTCTGATGTGACTGCACACTGGGAGCTTCTCACAATGTGCATTAGAAGCTGCAGCAAGTCAGATAGAGCCCGCCTCCTTTCCTGGCTGGAGGACATCCCAATATCATGGAGCTCATTCCTCCCCAGCCTGAGAGGTATCTATCCTGAACTCAATAGAGCTAAAAAAAAAGTGGCTTGAAGCAGCTACAAGGAAGCTATGGGTGAGAGCCTTCAACATCACGTGTCTTCCACGTATAATGCCCTCTTAACATCCCTTACCTGACAATTTGACAATTCACACCTTCAGCCATGTTAATGAAAGGATTGGCACCTATGCAGACTTCATAGCACCAAGTATGGGATCATGTAAC